ACCACATTTCACATGCTCTTACATGCCATCACAATTCGACTTGCTAATATGAAACGAATAATGTCGTTGGGTGCGTTAATTTTGTTAGTGGGTAGGTACACATTTACCATTAGGTAAGGTATCGCGCACAGGAGAATAAAAAGCAAAATTGAATACGATTTGCAACTACAACGCACAGCCCACGCTAGTGATGCCATTTATTACACGACTGCCTTATTTGGAAAGGTACATACTTTATTAAGGTGCTGACAAAGAGGGATCACATTCCGATTGTCATAATTTCATTTATACAATTCTAACATGACATTTCAAAATGTACGATTTCTAGATAGTTTGTATAAAATGCACTGTCAAAGGAAACAGCTGAGCGGTCTTCAGAGCAAAACATACACAGGCGCGAGCCTAAAGCTTTCCCAAAAAAATCCTTAGTAAAGAGGATCAATTATTATGAAGAGCGACAACAAAAAAGTGAAAGCTAATTACATGGTGAAGCAAATCTAAATAAGATTATTTTTAATCAGATTTCTTTACTGAGAGCCTCATTTACTGAACATTGTGTTATCTTAATTTCTTCAAAGAAACGCCGTTGCCGGCATTCTAAGGACGATTTCGTTCGTATAAAGTTCAATGAGACGAAAGCGGCGTGCGAAAGCACTCTGTTTCAGTTCTTGGATTAATTTTATTTAAATTTGAACGTTTAAATTCAGTTGCGATAAATATCATATATACTCTGCGCCTGTAGAGAAGAAAATCAAAATTCGGCTTAAATTGAATTCAATTTTCTTTCTAAAACAAAATCTCGTACATATTTAAAGTGCATAAGAAATCAAGTGCACGGATAACGATATATAACCGGATTAATACACACACACACACACACACACACACACACACACACACACACAGGAAATCTATGATGTATCCAAATAATGTCTGACAATCAAGATAACACCGTTTGCGTGTCAACACGGAAGATAAAATTTCCGTTTGAATAAATTTTTTTTTTCCCAGTGTTAGTTACATTCTAAATTTAGAATGAATTATTTTAAATATACTCGAGTTACAATGCGTAATCATTTTACTGCAATTACAGCTGAAAGGACATGAATAATAAAAAACACGTACAAGGGGTAAAACTTTTTTTCACTTAACTGCAGATTACGTAGATAGCAAGCCTATCGCTCGGTAGGATTACTATGTCTAGGTTAGGCGATGACATATATATTATAAATGTATATACATGTATACATAGGACGCAAGCAAACCTTCTTGTCATGGCCAAGGGGGAAGAAGAGCTACCTTATGCTAAAGGTTTACTTTGGGGTTTACCTACTTTAGGATATAGACATAGAATGTTCCCCCTCCTAATTACATTTGCACAAAAACGTAGCGTGTAATATGTAATTGACAGGGGAGATTACATATACACATATACACATATATGCTTAGAATTACATACTTATGCAAATGTTACAGAACTTTATACAAATATATATGAAATCAAACCCCCGTCTCCCGACGATAGATATTGAACAACGGTTTCCTGTTTGCGAAAAACACTCGATTTGACATCAAATTGAATTCTGTTGATGTGGCAAATTCTTATGAACGTTGCCAAATAATGTCTCGTCGTTTACATTAAATCAAAATCATTTGCATGACGCAAACTTAGAAGCAAAAAAAAAAAAAAAAAAAAAGAAAGAATCGCTTGTTGGCCCAACGACAATTTCTAACTTACCAACAACATACTATTATGCGCGCACACTTGCCTACGTATGCACAAATCGCATAGATTTAACAATATATGGTATATATATATATACATATATATATACATATATATACACAACGCAATAGCGACAACATTTTAAGTCTATGTTGTATTCGGACAAAGCCACATTAATTGCATCCAAATTAGTGAATGAATATAATGGCAATGTTTCAAATTTTTATGCTGAGGTACCGAAAATTTATTATTTTTATAACAAAATTTGCCCTGCATTGCACTGCACTCGCTCGTTGATTTATATAAATTTTTTAATCCCTAGGCAAACAACAAAATTAAAAGGATCATGAAAATAAAAATAAGAACATCGTTGAATTCATTGAACATACAGCACACGCACAACATATATCTACCGATCCCCCGACCCTATACAACGTTTGAGTTGACAGAGAAGATTCAAACATGCTCTCTCCCTCTCTCTATCTCTCCCTGTGTGTAATGCTAGTTTCGTTTGCTTATTGAGGAATCTAAGTGATTCCGATTAGCTCCGCGACAGATGTATGCAATACCCAGAGGGACTTGCGATAGGCCAACCTACCTTTTACTATATCTGTCAGTCTTCTTCTTGTGTGTTCAACCTACAGGGTCGCAATTTTTGAGATATTTTGATAAAATTTTATCCACTCTCGTGTTCTGGTTCAAGAGATTGAAACTGCCTCCTATTGGATCAGCTTATCAAGGACTTCCCATACAACATCCTCTGTGAAAAAGACGTTATATGAATTATTATGTCAAGTGATGTTGTGTAGGGCTTTTAATGGTGAGTCATCTCCTACTATACCACTTTTTTTTACTTGCTTTTCTGTAATTTACGATCTAAAAATCTTGCTTTAATTCTATTGTATATTTGCGTAATATCAGTTCTCACCTTAAAATATTTACAAGATATTCATACAGAAACCTACGTGTGCACGTAGTGATGCAAGAAGAATTTGTTTAAATCTTTGTTTGTTTATTTACACAAATTTGTGTTATTACAATATTCGCTAGCATTAAACATAAATATCATAAGTATAGGATAAATATTGTTCCCACCAGCCAAACAGACCAGACCGTCGGCTAATTCGACGGCAGCTCTACATGCACGTACGATTCATTTTGTCTATGCTATCAGCAAATGTCAAAATCTTTACATATGCATGAGGGAAGAAAGGGCATACATATGCATACACACACATTATCTATTAAACGTACGAAATAATTTAATTTGAAATAAGCTAAACAAACAAAAAAGCAAAACGAGAATGAACCGTTCACATAAGACTGACATGTACTTATGTAATCGTGGTAGGGCGAAAAGACAGAACAACTAGAAGCAATTATTAGAAAAAAATTGTCTTTGCAGTCAAGAAAAGGTGTCAAAAATTCGTCCATGCATTATACATTTTTTTTTTAGTCAATTTTATGCAGACATTGTGTAATTTTTTTTTTTTACCGTTTGTTTATCTATGTTGTTATTGGATTTGCTTCTATATATGCAATAGTTGTCGTCGTTGTCGTCAATTTTTTTTTCTTTTCGTTTTCACGTAATTATTGCAAAAGAAATCATAGACACGAATTTTCAAAGGAAAACAATTGTGAACACACACGCAATAGCGTGCATTTTTGCACATGTCATGTCAGACGATGTAAAGAAAATTGAATTATGGCAATATAATTGCGTCCAATAACTGCAGATAAACATTTTCAAATAAAAAATTTATTATTAAATCGAAAATTTGATGAAAAATTATTGCAACCCTGCGTCAAATCATGAAATCTTTTTCAATTCTATAGCTTAGTCCTAAGACGAAGGTTAGAGTGACCACTGAAATAAAATAAGCGTGCGAGCATCTGAAATGAACAGAATTTTTTATTTGCAAGTTGCTTTTGTTCATTTTTTATTTATTTTTATCACATTTAAAAGCGCATAGCGCCGAATTAATCAACGCATGCCTCCGCTTTGTGGGCGGACAGAGCGCTGCGACTAAATCTACTCTTGGATCATCATCATCATCTACCAATTTCTTTCACATGAATTCCGGAAATATTTTCCGGCCATTGCGGACTTTTAACCTTCAAACCTTCACTTCTTTCTTTTCAGAAAAACAGGTTTATGCGGAAGCTACACAAGATTTGGAAAAAAAGAAGACGTTTAATAAATTTTCCCTATATATATATATAGTATATAGAAAACTAACTGTTCCCGGGAAAATTTGGACTTAATCGGACCACGGCGCGACATTTGAATCTGTTGGCTTGAATTTTTTGATTATTTCTTATTCAATATATATATATATTATAGTTTGAAAGCTAATAGCAATCACGCCACAATGTGTCTCACAGTCGCAAAGTATCTCGACCAATAAAGACCCAATCGAAGACTGATTTTGGGACGGAGACGTATCGAGTAAGGGTTCATTCAAAATTATGAACTGGTCCAAGGTTCATATAGAACCCTTTTTTTTCTTATACTATTTGAAATTAAAAAACGGCCTGTCTTTGTGTAATATTTTGTGTTTACATTATCTTTGCAAAAATTCTGGAAGGTACACTAATGCAATCGTAGCAATAATACACCATCGAAAGATTTTTCACGAATAATATAATACTTGTTTGTATACTTTCGTCGACACGTATAACCTCATCGCCCGTTACAGCGAATCGATAATGGGCAGCTATCCAAGCTTAATCGCTATCGACAACTATAAATCCACTGCTGACAGGTGTATCACCTCTATATCAAACATGCAGGTAAAGTAAAATCACACTATAACTTTAAAAACAAATCCACATTTGCCGAAATCACAAACTGAAGCCTGAACAAAGAAATCGTGCTTTCTACAATGGTTAGCCGAAACATTAATGATGTTGGAGGACCCGGTCAGTAATAACAAAGAGCAACTGTTCACCTGCTTACTGCACACTGAATAAAATATATCCTACGCGAAAAGTGATGAGATGAAGCCAATACAATGGCGGCGATACGAATTGCATTAGTAATGGCCTAAGTGCCTTTTCCTAACATTTGATCTCCTAAGAAAATCGACATTAACCTCATCGTACAACTTTCCAAGGAGAAGATTACCGGCCTATTGATAGCATGTCGATTTTTAAAAGTTTATAGTTTACTACACGATTCAAAAGTAACTTCACTTCAGGGTAAGTGTCATGCATAAGCAAACATATTTTTTTTTTTAATTTTACAGAAAGGAATATGAAAAATACTATTTACCTCCGATATTGATATTGTTCGATGTGTTGATGATGATAAAGGTCCAGATTGAGAATGCAGTACGAGTTCAGTGTTGGCAGTTTACAATCACAAAAAATCCACACGAGGCGTCTAAAATTTAAAAATAAAGCTTGTGTTGTTAAACGCAATAAGTAAACAGTGGTAACAAAAATCTTTATTCCTCTATATTTACATCCTCGATATATATATATAGTTATTGTCTATAATTTTTTTTTTCCAAAAATCTTCTCCAGATAATATTCTGGATACTTAGATGGTGTATGTATGTTTTTTATAGCAACAATTTTTACATTATCACGTCAGGTATTTTCAAATTAATGAAAATTCTTTCAGTCATCTCTGTTTTTTGACAAAAAAAAATTCCAGCCTAGTGTGTAAAAGTGTTTGCAAAGTATTTTTTACTTTGCCAGTTTTGCTTTTTGTAACGACAAGTGTTTGTTTTCCGCCTAAATTATTTACAATTTCTGCTTCTTTTTTCTGGAAAACTCTTGAAAGCTGGTTTGTTGATACTTTCATTGTTCGTTTGGAGGAAAAGTGATTGAATTATTTACCACATCTAGCCGGTAACATCGCATTCGGGGAGAGTATCAAAAATATAAAGGCAAAAAAGCTAACCTTCAGCTACGTCATTCACCCTTTCGAATATTTTCCTACGTCATACTTCCAGCTTGAAACGTTTCTCTCTCAAAATTTTATTTTAGAATTCGAAGGACATGAGATCTAAAAAACTAGTGCATCAATCTCACTGAAATTTGGCACGCCTCTTTTAGGTAAGGTAAGTTTAAGGGAAGTCCTTGAAGGAAGAGAATTTTTTCCTTTGGTCACAAGTTATTTTTCAAGGCAATGCTTTTTCCTAAAAGACGGTCTCTGAAAACAACGCCCGAATGGGTGAATTTTTAAAAAGTTTAATTCTAAATTAAATTTTTTAGAAAATAGTTGAAATTTAATTCTTTTATACGCTTAAAAGTTTCAATAAAACAACTTTTTTATACTTAAGGGCATGTCAAGTTTCTGGGGTATGTTTGCAACGCCCAAAAGGATTTAAAAGAGACCTACCTACCTTATGATATATAAAATAGCAATATGATATATATAAACTCATCTGTCTCTCTACCCGTCTTATATTCTTGTGGTCAATATACCAGGTGCGATATTTTATTGACACACCGACGTGTTCTGATCAAGTTTGGCAACTATTGAAACCATTTACCATAACCACATCTCATTTGGAATACCTGTAAGGTGGTGCTATTTAATTACGGATTATTGTCACGTATTTTCTTGTCATGTATGATTTATCCTCTTAAGAAATTAAGAGCACAAAAATTCAAATGAAATATTTTGAAGTTCTTCTACACCGGCAAAGGCGAATCTAGAATTGATTTTCTACAAAATATTTGTACTTTCATGTTGTCAAAAAGAATCGCTTTTGAAATTCCGATAGGAAGGATATGTAACGCTTTGTGTTTTCGAAGTTTCAAGTTTAAATTCTTATATACTTTACTTGACTTTTCGCAAAAGCTCTAATAACTAACAGAGTATAAATTATATAAACTTTAAACTTAAGCCCACATGTATATAAATATGTTGTATTTCCCATAATAAATATATGCATGATATTTATATTTCCCAAAAGTTGTTTAAGTACTCTTCAGATAATACTCTGAATACCTGGATCACAGGCCAGATATTTTTTAGTCAAAAAAACAAAAGCATAGTAAGTCACGGCTCACCCCTACATTACGTCCCTTACCAGGTATATGAAGCAAAAACACATTCGGTGTTATCACATTATCTCAAAAATTGCAAGCTCTAGTTAGATGGACATACTTAGATCGATTGTTATTCTGAAGCCATCGATATATATATCGGGCTATTTTCAAGTCTTTCTGAGTATTTTACCCTTCCACACAAACTTGATACATTCTTGTGCCACAAAAATATAAAGAATACTCGACCGAGGCATATCAGCTTAGTTGACGTTACTGCAGAGTTAGTCGACTCCGATTAGCATAGATCTAGCAATACCAGACTCCTTTTTAAATTTTGGAGCATTTATTTCAACCATAGTAACCATAAATATCCCATATATAAGGATTTTTTAATCTCCTCCTCGTTTCGATAGAAAGAAGTGATTAGTAATTTCAATAATTTTATTATGGATATTTTTGAGAAGAGAAACGCAAGGCATCTAAACATATATCCAAATCAAAACAGTAAGAGATGTTTGTCTTTACAGACATACCGCAAAGATAGAGAGAGATTGTGTAAAACATTTTGTAAGGAAAACCTACTAATTTTGGTGAAAGAGAAAATAGAAAACCTTGTCAACAACTGAAAGGATTTTATCACTTGTTAGCTAACAACATGTGTGTAAGATGCACTTCGAGCAAAAGCCCAGGACTTTTTCATTAAATATTTTTCCCTACACAATCATTCCGAGTTAGTGGAAGAGGAAGATTTATCGGCATAGTTCAAACAGTCATGCAAACAAAATGCACTTGATAGCACTAACTTTTATCCGTATTATCTCTGCTTTTGCATTATCGGCATCTCTCAGTTTAATCTTTCAAAGCAAACAATGTCGAGAATGCAGGTTTGTTTTCATTTTTATTTTTTCCCACTTGTACTCTTTTTTTTTTTTATTATCGTTTTTGCTCAAAAGCCATACCGGCGGTGGCAAAAGCTTCCCTCAAAACTTGTTGAAAATGTTGTTACTGCATACACTTTTAAATCTAACGAAGCATTCAAGCGGAAAACCGGACTGAATAAACCTGGAAACAAATCTAACCAAAAGGTAACAACAAAACAAAGATTTGAAGATATTGGAAGAAAGCCAAACGAAAAACTAATGAATATTTAATACGAATACAACGTTACCCTATTTGACGTCGTAACTTACTTTCTCAATTAATACATACATACAGTGCAAAAAAAAAAAAACCAAATCATCTCACTATTAAATCATTTAGTCATGACATGAAAAGCATTCGAAGATGCTAAGCACCCTGTGTTCTTCGCTGCTCTCATAATACCTTTTTACTAACAATATTTGCTGCTATTAGTCGGATATTACTTTTTGTCTGACGGTAAAAATTTCAAATATTTATTAAATTACTGTTTATTTACAAATATTACTGGGAATAAAATCAAAAGTTTTTTTGTGCATAAAACTAAACTTTTTTTATTATAAATAAAAGACTCAACTGATACGAAACACGTAAAGTGTCAAGGAGCGTAAACCGAAAAAGTTTTTATACGCATATATGCATATGCGCGCATATAATGGAAACTTTTCGACAATTTTTAATAAAAACTTTGCCATGATATCTCTAAGACATGTTGCTTGGCAGAAGAATGCGATAGAATGGGTGGGTGGGTGGGAAGGCACTTTGATGATGATGTTTCTGCTAAATCAAAAGCCTGCGGTACGCGTGGAAATTGCGAAAAATCTTTTGCTTAGGAACTCGGAACTTGTATAAGGACTTGAGCCAAGGCAGACACGGCATTCAATTTATTGGGAGAATAGGTATTCCGTGGCATCCTTTTTCAACTATCTTTGAAATTCTTATTCAAAACTTTTCAAAATGCCGTAACTGACTTGGTAAGCACTGGGCTGAAGTCAAAAAAAAGACAACCAATAACGCATCTTTTCCTATTTCTCTTATTCGGGATGCTTGAATATTGCGACTATTCCGTAAGTGAGCGATTAGCTCTAAGAATTGGTCTTGAATTATTAGTGACTAAACTTAGCTAAGTTTTGAAGGTAAAGGTCCCCCTAAGACAGCAGCCTACAATACTTTATAGTCCACATTTCCGCTTTAATTGTTTTTTAATAATTTAAAAACAAAGAAAACCAAGTAAGAAAATTACACTCGGTTGTGACCGAATCTTTTGTACTCATCATCGCGCCTCTTTAAAAAAAAAAAAGAAGCGACCCAAATTTGCATACTCCATAACTGTGGGTGGGCGCTGCTGATTTTTTCTATTTGGGGAATTTATAGGGCATATGTGTTGTGCGGAAAGCAAAGGTGTTCAACAATTCTTATTACTTGGACGTGTGGGCGTTATAGCCATTCTTTTGTAAATTTGTGGGCGATATTTTCATTTTCGCTAACGAGAGGCTGTTTACCAAAGATACTACATGGTTGTGCAGATGTACATACGGACAGATATGTTTAGGTGTGTTCCAAATTTGTAAGTGTCCTATAATTCAAATACTTTATGGGGTTTTTGAAGCTTGTTTCTGTGCGTTATGAACGTTTTGAGAAAATAAAAAATGCGACCGTGACTCATTAAAAAATGGAGTAGGCGTGGCCGAGTTTTTCAGTATTTATAGAGATACTACCCATAGAGAAGGAAACACCCATAGGATATATGTTCAATTTTTTGTAGATTTATCCGCTGCAGTTTTTGAGTAATGAACAAAAAAGCAATTTCTACGTAGTACTGTAGGTGTGTTTTGGCTTATTTTTCCAACCAAAATGTGTGCAAGAATTCGCCCAATTTGAAGTCGATAGCTTCACTTTTGCGGTGAGGAGAATGTTTACAACAGACACTACACGGACGGACAGACGGACATGCTTAAATCGATCCAGAATTTGATCAAGACTATATATAACTTTGTAGGGCCTCTGAAACTTTCTTCCGGGCGTTGCAAACGCTTTGAAAATATTAATTTACCTATGCACCGCATCCCTCGATGATGGTTGTAAAAGCGAAATTTGATGAGAAAAATATATTATTTCTAGTTTACTAAGGCGCGAGTAATTGCTTTGTGTGTATATGCGCGTAAAACTTACAATAATTATGGTATTAACGCGTTCTACACAAAGCGCACAAACACACAAGGCAGTCGCATATGAACATAAACATTTTAAAATGTAATACGCATGCAAAACATCAAATGAATATTAAGAAAGGAAAAGAAGAGAACTAATTGCACATAAAATGATTCGAAAAACGATTTGTTGTTGTTTAGCATCGCGCAGCACAAATCAAACCAAATTAATTGAAAAATATTTTCTGTTTACATTAACGGACGCGGCCAAGTGAATGTAATCAAACA